GCGGGGGTTAGAATTTATATGTTTGGGATGAAATTGGTAAACTGTTGGCTTACGATTTAGCCCACCTTGTGATTTTTAATTTATTTTAGTTGGTCATTAAGTGTTTTGGTTCTTATTTTTTTATTTTTTAAAGTTGTGAAGTTAATGTGGTTTGGATTCCTGGATGCAATTGCTTGTATAGGGCACATTGATATGGACTTCAGAGTTTGGGGTTTATTCTGAGTTGAAGAAGACTTTCTCATAAAGCTTGGATCTAATTTGAAGTTCAAATCGCGACAACTGTGTATATTTTTGTATCGGGACGGTTCTTCTTATCTATAACTTATTTGACAAGTAATCGTGACCTCTTATTTAAGTCAATCCAAGGCACAGTATCTTATGGATCTCAAGTGATTATAACACTAAATACATATTGAGCATTTGATTGACTTAAATTAAACGTTATTTGTCAAATAAGTGTTTTAAATTTATGAGCAGAAGGAACGGTTCCGTTTATGTATATGGGTTACGCATTGTAGAAATTTAATATGAAAGACCTCATTAATGCTATTCAACAAAGATCAAGTAGTATGTCATGTTATGAATCCAACAGCAGTACAGACTCACATGCACACACATACAAACTCGAAAAGCAAAAAGAAATAAAAGATAAGAGGGAAAGGTGAAAAATAAATATTGGACCTTTTGATTATTGTGTGCTTTTTTTTCTGATTTGTATTCTTTTCACTGAAGGGAAAACAACATTTGTAAAGAGGCATCTTACTGGTGAATTTGAGAAGAAATATGAACGTAAGCCCTCTGGACAAATATATTTTCTTTAGTTTTGGATTTTTTTGTTGCATTATTTTCTAACTGACTCTTCATTTATGTGTAGCAACTATTGGAGTGGAAGTTCATCCGTTGGATTTCTTCACTAACTGTGGGAAAATCAGGTTTTATTGCTGGGATACTGCTGGTCAAGAAAAATTTGGTGGCCTTAGGGATGGATACTAGTAAGTATAACCAGAGCGTTGCCCATTATTTTATTGGTTTGTGTAGAGTTGTAAACCTTAAAATGCCTTGAGGGTTACATGTTGTCTCATGTAGTAAAAATGTACATTGCTATCTAATTGAGCCTTTTTAAACACTGTAATATGTAATGTCTCTGTTTTTATTTTATTATTATTTATATTGTTAAATTCACCTTTTGTTTTCCTTTTCTGTGTCTGTGATGTTTAAATATCCATGTCCATAAAGCATGTTTCTGATGTTTTATTTTTTCAGCATCCATGGACAATGTGCGATAATCATGTTTGATGTCACAGCTCGGTTAACATACAAGAATGTCCCTACATGGCATCGTGATCTCTGCCGGTGTGTGCTTTCTTATACATTTTAAGTTTGCTCGTAGATTTGGTTGAGTGTCATCTTGAGAATGTCATAGTACTGACATCCCTCTGGTGCCAATTGCAGGGTATGTGAAAACATCCCGATTGTCCTTTGCGGGAACAAGGTCGATGTGAAGAACAGGCAGGTGAAGGCAAAACAGGTTACTTTCCACAGGAAAAAGAATTTGCAGTATTATGAAATATCAGCAAAGAGTAACTACAACTTTGAGAAGCCTTTTCTTTACCACACACACACACACACACACACACAGAGTACAAGGTTTTATTCTTTGGTAAATTTGGAGGCATGGTGCTTATACCAGCTAAAACCTTTGTGAACCATAGTAGATGCTAGGTTCATAACCGTGTTTGACTTGATATGGGCACATCTTAGCATAAAACTCTCTTCTCAAATTTAGTAAGATGTTAAGCATAATTTTTGTTGAATGTTCTCAGCCATGAGGCAGAGCTTGCTGCAGCTGCCAGTCAACCCCTTCCAGATGACGATGATGAGTCATTTGATTAAATTGATCTTATCCTTGATGATACTTCGTGATGCATTCCCTTCCATATGATGATGGTTTCCCATTTTTTCTTGCCTGATTTGTGGGATTCTTGTTTCAAGGATTTCTAGTCCTCAAAAATGTGAGATCTAATGGTATGTGTAGGTGCTTTTGAAATATTGGATTGTTATGATCTGCTTTGCTTGTGGGAAGATGTTCTTTTTGTCATGTCTTCTGAATGTTGAGATATTATATGTACGATGTAGGTCGTATAAACGTTTGAGTTCTTTGTCGATACATTTGCTCTGTTTCTTGTGGAGATTTTACTGCATAGTTTGCTCATAGCTATTTTGTAAGAGTTCATGGGCTAAAATTCTTGTCTGTGCCATGAGATTTGGCAGAGGTTCTCACTGCTGGACTGCTTGTAGGGTATTTACCGGTTGCCAACATAAAAAAATCTCTCTATTTGGCCAAGAAATATAAAGTGAAAGTCTACAAAATGACATTGATGAAGGGTCAAAAAAATGTTTTATTTTCATTACTGGTGGATGGAAATAATAACATCTCGTGTTTAAACTTCATTTTAGGTGTTGTAAGTTGGGGCAGTAATTATAATACGTTACAAATAGTGATTGATCGACCACTTCACCGATATTCGGCATGATGAGTTTGAAAATTGGCAATTGATCACATAACCAGAATCTCAATAAATGAACGATGGTTATGCTCTTCAATTACCAAATGTCGAAGATAATGGCATGTGTACCTGAAGACTATCGAAATCACTTGGCATGTGGACAAGAGTGGCCTAGCTTATGACATGAGTCGACTACCTATAAAATGTGTATCTGAAGACTATTGAAATCACACGACGCGTGGATGAGAATCGCCTAGCGAGTGATATGAAACGACTTCGTATAAATATCCTCAGAAGGTGTCAGGTATGGTGTGTGCCCCTTATTTATCGAAATTTGTTCCACTCAATTTTTGTCATCATCTACTTACAAAAATACTGGAGGTCGAACGAGGGAGATAGCCCTAGTATTCGTAGGTAAATTGGTTGCAGAAGTGATATTACCACTTTGTTTCACCAAGAAAGTTGAGGAGTCATTACAGGATAATTTCAACCACTATGCTCAGGGTACATGTCGATCGATGAAGACAAGAGTGGGACCCACCTTAACATCAGTATCCTGTCACTCGAGGTCTTAGTTGATCTTTGGAGAAAGATCTTGGAGAGATGCTTCAGATCCCAGGTTTAAAATCCGGGATTGGCTCCAGGGCCAAGGTGATTGCCACCTCGGCTCTTGATCTTTAATTCATGGGGCCTGCCCCATTCAAAATTAGGGGTTGAGGGCATCTCCAACCATTGCACCATTGCGCCAAATTGCACCAAAATTTGGTGCAAACTTCCTCCAACCATTGCACCAAATTTTGATGCAAAAAATGGTGTAATGAATAGTGTTGCACCAAATATGGTGCAACACTATTCATGTTGCACCATTTTTCACCAAATGGTGCAATATTCATTTTGCCCTTATTTTTCTTTTTTCAAAGATAATGGTTAAGGGCATTTTTGTCATTTTCGTTCTATAATAATAATGATAATGATAATGATGATAATAATAATAATTACTTAATTAATTACACTATTAATTATATTATTAAAGTTTATTATTTTTAATAATATAATCAATAATAATTAACGTAATTGTTAATTTAACGTAAAGTTAAATTCGTAAAGTTTACGTTTAAAATTTAATTTAATGTAAAGTTTCTATTATTAAAGTTTATTATTTTTGTAAATTTAATGTAATTGTTTATCATAAATTAATAATATAATCAATTATTTTTGCCAATTTAACATAATATATATGACGTGATAATATAGTAATCAATATATTTTTTAATTTAATGAAGTTATGATTTAGTAATATATATAGTTATAAAATAAATAAATAATATTTTAAAATAAATATATTGTCAAAAATCGAAAGAATGAATAAAATAATAAAACATTGTTCATTTGGTGTAAATTTTGGTGTAATGATTGGAGAAGAATTTTGGTTTGGTGCAAGATTTAGTGCAAAATTTGATTCAAAATAGTGCAGAGTTGGAGATGGCCTGAGGTGGGATTGGAACCCTGCAGCTTTATTCAAGATCTTGTGCCATTTTAAGAACAATAAAGCTGCTCTAACAGGATAGTAAACAGGGTGAAAGACAGGAATTTAAAAAAGTTGACGAGGCATTAATTATTGGCTACAACAGAAATTAAGTGTAGAATAATCTGTAGTGTTACTGTGTGTAATTTCAAAGGTGCATAGGTGGGACCCAAAATGCGTAATTGTAAAATCAACCATTCTACAAGTACATCAATTTTCACACATTTTTTTACAGCACACACAGGCAAGTAGGTGGGGTCTACAATTAAAATAATTGTGGACCCCACCTTTGTGAGGTGTGAAAATTGCTGCTGTAAAATATTTGCTGTTGAATTCAAATTTGCCGATGTTAGGAATTTTAATATGCCTCATTTTTATAAAAAAATGATTTTTGTAGTAGCAATATTTTGAGGATGTGGTAAAAAAAAAATACTATTTTTCTCCAAATATTTACGTACAAAATTATTTTACTAGAAGAATGTATGATTGTAAATGAGTTTGAATAAAATTGAATTTTTAGAATATGGGTTTACACAGGGTGCTATTACTTACACGTAATTACTTTATTTTAAGTCACATTTTTTTAGCCCTTGTTTTGTGGGAATTAAAACAGGTTTTTAGAATATTTTGATAAAACGTATGGTTAAGAAGTTATAAATTTCATGAAATATATAATTGAAATTAATTTATAACATTAATTTTAATCCACATAAAAAAGGCATGTGCATCGAAGTAATTAAGCTTTGATTGGGCTTATTTTTTTTTCCCAAAAAAAAAAAAGAAAAAAAAAAGGAGCTTTTGCAGCAAGACACACAACCCCTCACTTGAGGGGGCTGTACTTGTATCTTTACCCTTTTTGGAATTCTGTACTTGTCCAGTTGCAATTTCACAAGGACTTCCTTTAAGCACCATAATTTGTGTTTAGCTGTTCATGCTTTCATTTGAGAAACCTAAAAGAAAAAGATAAAACCACTTCATCATCTATTTTACTTCATCAACCCGATTGCATTTTCTAAATTCATGTTAGGTTAAGTGATAGTTTGATTGTATATATTGAAAACGATGTACTCGACAATAATGATAACGATGTAATTATACGACGTTTTAAAAGTAAAAAATTGCATAGACTATTGTTGTAGTAGTATATTGACATATTTTTATTAATGTTATGTTATAAAAAGAAATTCTATTTTAATTTTTAACCCCACAATACAAAAAGTCTGGCTCCGCCCTCAAAATTATCATCACATATCTAGTTTGAACCCTCCAATGAATTCACCTGAAAATGCCATCACTGCCCTAAGCTTTTAACTCAACCATAAAAAATTAGCACAAACATCGAAGCCTAAGTTGATCGGAACCATGGAACATAGTATTATACGATACTAAACCCTTGTTTGATAGAAATTAAATATAAATTTTTATCAAAGTCAATTTCAACAATTAATATCAACTACATATTTTACGGGATCCACAATTTTGAAGTCATACATTTTATCACTTTTATCAAAATTCGTAAAAATTCTATTTTTATTATCTACCAAACAAGGGCTTATTTTGAAAAAAATAAGAAAGAAAGATAGCTCAAAATATTATCCATATATAGAAGTTGGGTCTACATGACAATGATACAAAGATCACAGCAGTGAAAGGGAAGTACATGAATCAGAACATGAAAATGAAACTTTAATGTAACCTAGGAAATTATTGAGATAAAATAAAAAAATAAAAGCTAGGAACATGCTTATTCATTTGTAAACAAGTTCAGAACCTCCCTCAATCCTCCTTTTGTTGGCTTAACATTTAGCCATCAATGGAGGAGTTGTAGGGCGTGGGAATCAAGTAAAGACCATTTTTCCTCGGCACAGTTATTCCTTCTCCCTCGGACATGTCAACTTTGTTTCCCTTAGGAAGTTTCCAGTCAAAATGGTAGAGAAGTTGAGCTAAAGGAAGCTCAATATTGGCTAAGCCAAAGTTCATTCCAGGGCAGAACCTTCTTCCTGCTCCAAATGGAAGAAATTCAAAGTTACTTCCCAAGAAATCTACTGAATTGTTCTCAAATCTCTCTGGTTTATAGCTTTCTGCTTCAGGCCAATAATCTGGATCTCTGCCCAAAGCCCAGATATTAATCATCACTTTGGTTTTGAGGGGTATTGTATATCCATTAACTTTAAATTCTTCCCTGCATGCTCTTGGAAGTAAAGGAATTGGAGGATGTAGCCTAAAAGTTTCCTTGATCACCAACTTGAGATACTTTAGCGATTGAACATCACTCTCTTCGAATGTCCCCTTTCCCTTAGCAATTTCTCTTATTTCGGCCTGCGCCTTTGCCATCACACGTGGATTTCTCATCAATTCTGCCATGGTCCAATCGATTGTGGTGGATGAAGTTTCAGTTCCAGCCGAAAACAAGTCCTGCGGGGAAAACAATTGTTATCGATGTTGGACTAATAAATGTTAAGAAGAAATAATAACTTCTTTATTGATAAAATGCTTACAAAAATGACTGCTTTGATGTTGTCGTTAGTTATCGGAATAGAAAGTTCTCCACTTTGTTGTAATCTGAGTAGAACGTCGACTATATCTTCACCACCCAACAGCCCATTGCCTCTATTGGTTTTAGCTAGGTTATTTCTGTGCTCATTGATCATGGAGTCAAGAATTTTGTCAAGCTTACCGCGCATCTTCCATAATCGACTTTTATTCCAACTCATGACTTGTAGCAACTTTGAAGAAGGGAAAAAATCAGCCAATTCGAAACCTCCGGCCATGGCTGTTCCTTCCTTCATCAGCATTATCAAAGCGTCTTTGTCTTTCAGTACTTCACCGAATGCTGCTCTGCACGTCATTGAACTTGTAAATGAGAATATTCTATCAGTTAGGTTGATGGGTTTCCCAGAAGACGACTGGATGATTTTCAAAAGTTGCGCAGCCTCCTCTAGCCTTATGGAGCCAAATGATCGGACATTTTTGGTGCTTAAGAGCTCCAAAATGCATAGTTTACGCATTTGCCTCCAGTATTCGTTGTAAGAACTAAAAGCAATATCGGTATAGTCGTACCACATAATCTTACTTCCGATACTCTCTGGCCTATCGGCACAAGCAGGATCATGAACCTTTAGCACATCTTTAGCAGCTTCGCGTGACGATATAACAACTGCAGGAACTTCACCGAGCTGCAGATGCACGACCGGACCATACTTTTTAGTTACCTTTCTTAGAGCATGATGTGGGGGTGCACCTACCAAATGGTGCATGTTTCCGATCAAAGGCAGCTTCCATGGACTTGGAGGCAATTTTTCGTTCTTGTTAACGGACTTCGATTTCTTGAATCCCTTAATTAAGAGAAAGACGAAGGATATGAAAAACAAGAGAGTGGTGAAGTTGAAGGGAAGAAGATGGAATTCCATTATTTTTGGTACTGGCTATTCCCCTCCAAGTTTAGTTGTAGAAAGTGCACAAGAAATGGCTCCTATAAATATATAATACAAGGAAAATTATTCTCTTTATTATATTAGGTTGGTATTTGTATCAATGTTGACTAGCTTTTGCGTATAGGTAGATATATAAATATTTTATTCTATATTGTTGTTTTCTCTGACATTTTATTGTTTTTTAATGTTATCTTGGTGCACGAATCTGACTGCAGGTAACCACGTGACATTTATTTCTTTGTATTTCATGATATTCTTTCTTAAGTGACAAATATTGACTAGCAGAATTTTTATTCTAATATAGCCCACTGATTATGATAATTTTCTGCTGTCAGACTTGACCAACCTGATAGAGAATTTTTTTTTTCTAAAATGTAATGCTAGACTGCAATTTTTTTAATGGGTAAAAACACCATAAGTCATCCAACTTTGAGTAAAGTTTTATTTTAGTTACTCAAATATTCTTGTAGTTCTAAACTCATTCTCTGAGTTTCAAAGTAAGGTGCCATTGGCTCATTTTTCAAGCAATAAAGCTATTTGTACAAAGTTGAATTACAAAAGTTGGATTACAAAGTGTATTGGAAATGATTTAAAAATCTGTTTTTAAAATGATTGGTGTAGATGCATTTTGTCAATCAACTTTGTAACACATCTTTGTAAGTGTAGCATAGCTCTTTTTCAAGAAGGCTGAACCCCAACCTTGAGGGTCCCCACCGCCCCATCCCTAGAGCTTTGTGAGGGGCCATTGACTCATTTTTCGAATATGGTGCATGTGTACTTAGAAGAAGTAATTTATTAAAGACCATGTTTGGAAAATAATTGAGGCATATATATCGCTTCTTATCAGAAAACTTTTCTCCCATTTCTATTATCAAAGGCATGTGCATATAGAAGTCGTGTGTGTGTATATATATATATATATGCTACTCGTATAATCTAATCGATAATCATGTGAGTCGTTAGGTATCATATCCATTCATTTGAAAAACTGTTTTAGAAATTAATGACAATGATCTTTCAATATCATTATGGGATGGGCATTTAGTCACACTCCTTAAACATACTTTTAATTAAAAAATTTAAAAACAATAAGAAGTTAAGATATTTTATTTATTCAAATATTATAGCTGGTTCAACGCACATATGCGTAATTTTATGCATGTGCATATTTATTATCGTTCTAAAAAGCGTGAAACGTGATTAGACGCGTAGGTTAAGTTCCAAGCTTCACGATCCTAGACGAGACTTAAGCGTAAAAAATCATGACTTATTATTATTATTATTTTAAATATTTAACTATTCTAAAAGTTTAATAATTAAAAATAATACATAATAAATATTTAAAATTATCAAATACTATATTTACTTACTAATCCCTGCAATTAATCAATTATACAATTTTCAAGTTTTCAAAATGTAAAAATTAAACTATTTTTTATAGCTTCAATTTATAACTAGACAAATCATACTTAATAGATTTATAGGAACTTCATAAATGCTTTCAAAAATTTCAACAAAAAATAATAAATCTAAAAATTATAATTACATAATATAGATAGTATTTTAACTAAAATCTTATTTAAATCTTTAACGAAAAGTCATTGTTGAATTTGTTCAATATTGTCTAATGCAACACCATTTATAGTTCAAAATGTTGGCTTCAACGAAAATTCTACTAAATTCTTTGCAACACCATTTTTATTCTCTTGTATTCCACCAAATTCTTTTCAATCTAAGCAAAGATTTTGTTAGAGACTAAAGGTTTCTTACTCATAGAATCATTGGCTTAACTTAGTTGAATCATCATGGTTTTAGTACTATATTATTGGAAGACAATCGATTGGAGAACCACATATGCTTACAAATCTGTAAAGCATACTTACCATTCATAAAAGTACCACTTTCATCTTCTGCCCATTTATAAAAGGAAAAATTGTATTCATCTGCTCTATATAATTCATGTGACTAAACAGGAAAAACAAACAAGGAAAGCTAGTCAATTATTTTGTTTTTGAAAATTGAAAGGTAAGTAGTGGCTGGCTAGAGTAACTTATAAGTTTAAATTATTATTTTCTTTGACCAAAATTCAATGTGAAAGACATTTATAGCCCTATTTTGAGCCATGTTTTTCAATACCACATTTTTCTCCAAATTCATTTTTAACCACATATTCTCTTGAAAAATAATTTTACATTTAAGGATCCGTTTGATTGTAAGAATGGAATTTGGGTGGAAAGAAAACGAATTGCTAGGAATTGAATTGTCTAGAATTTGTTTACTGGGAATTGTCAATTAAATTTGTTTGATTGATATAATTTTTCATATGAAAAATGTTGAAATTTTAGATATTTTGGTGTTTATTTGACTTTATTTTTCATGAAAATTGTCAATTAAAGGGATTAATTTGTTACAATTGTGGTTATAATTTGTTTTCATAGTAAACAAAAAAATAAATTAAAAAAAAAACATAAAAAATTGATTGCCCACCAAAACCATGGAAATCAATTTCCACCAAATCAAGGAAAAAGGGACCACGTGGGGAGGGAAAATCAATTTCAGGGAAAACTCTTGTAATCAAACAAGAAAAAAGATGAAAATTTATTTATTTTTTATGGAAAATTCCTTGTATCAAATAGGTCGTAAATCTAAAATATTTTCCTACGTTTAAGCCATGCATTCTCCAAAAAATCGCTATTCCGTAATTCATTTTTACAAAATAATGATGCTCAATCAAGGGCATAGTTTTTTTCATTGTGTTAAATAGATTTGGATTGTGGTTGGAATGATTTATGGTAATAACAATTTTTTTTTAGGAAATTTGATTGTGCCCTAGTTCAAAATGTCTGGATCCGCCACTAACCATCTTACATTTCTTTCCGAGTGAAAGAATTCGCTCAAGGATCCTTAGTAAAAAATGCTTCAACAATTTCTATAACAGCTCTTACCTACGACGTACAAATGTTTTAATCCATGACCATAATATCTTGGCAGCGTAAAAATATTTGATCTATAACATATCTTACTTTTAAAACTAAATTTATGATGACAGTGTTCATAGAGACTTGGTCATGGATTAAAAATCTTAACAATAATAGAATAACAAAATTAGTGCGTTCGAGTCTTGGACACTGGCTTATCAATATAAAATTTCAAACTCAGCCGTCAAAATTGAATCTATGTTCAAATTATTTAGAATTGGACTATTATTTTAATTTCGTGTTACATCAGTTGGAAAAATTACAGCACACTTTAATAGAATGAAAATATTCGGCCAATAAACTTTAAAAAAAAAAAAAAACAGAAACTTAGAAGGATAATCAAGCAAAAAAATAAATAAAATCCCTCAGATTCTTGTACCAGTCAAACTTGGTTACCAAATAAGAAATATAAAAATCCACCGGATGCCAAATAAGACTTGCATCTACCTGGAAATGCATGACATTAGTGAGCATCAGAAAAAAATTTCAATATAATAGAATAGAATGAATACAAATGTTTTTCCACTATAAATAGGTGATATTGCGTTTGCATTTAGTACAACAAACAAAACACACACAGCCTAACTTGAAGTACAAAAGCTTGTACCAAAATTAATGGAAATCCATCTTCTTCAGTTCAACTTCACTACTTTCTTGCTTTTCACATCCTTCGTCTATTTGTTAGTTAAGGGGTGGAAGAAATCGAAGTCCCTTAAGGAGAACAAAAAGTATCCTCCAAGTCCGGGATGGAAGTTGCCTTTGATCGGACACTTACACCTCATGATGGGCGCACTCCCACACCGCTCCCTCAGTAAATTATCCAAACAATACGGGCCGATCATACATTTGAAGCTGGGTGAAGTTTCCTCAATTGTTATATCGTCGCGTGAAATTGCCAAGAAAGTACTCACGGTAAATGATCTTGCTGTTGCAGACAGACCGGAAAGTATAGGGATGAAGACTTTATGGTATGACTATAAGGATCTTGCCTTTAGTCCATATAATGAGCACTGGAGGCAAATGCGTAAAATATGCATTATGGAGCTCTTGAGCAACAAAAATGTTCGGTCATTCGGTCATATAAGGCTAGACGAGACTTCTAATCTTATTAAATCTGTTCGATCACATGGCGGAGAACCATTCAACATGACTGACAAGATATTCGCATTCACAAGTATAGCCACATCTAGAGCGGCTTTCGGTGAGATCTTGAAAGAGCAGGACACTTTGATAAAGTTCATGAAGAAAGGAGTGACCTTGGCAGGGGGATTCGAATTGGCAGATTTGTACCCATCACTAAAGTTCCTTCAAATTTTCAGTTGGAATAAACATCAATTGTTGAAGATGCGTCATAAACTCGATTCAATTCTTGATGTCATGCTCAATGAGCATAAACATAAGCTTGCTAGAGGGAAAAGAGACAATGGGGAGTTGGGTAGTGAAAACATTGTAGACGTTCTCCTCCGAAAGCAACAAAGTGACGATCTTGATGTTCCGATAACCGATGACAACATCAAAGCAATCATCTTCGTAAGTCCTTTATCCATAAATTACATTGCGTACGTTTTCTTAACCATTATATTGTTGATTTTGTTTCAGCATCAATAAGTATGTTGGTGTAATTGCAGGATATGTTTACAGCCGGAACTGAAACTTCATCCACAACATTCGATTGGGTGATGACAGAATTGATGAGAAATCCAAGAGTGATGGCAAAGGCACAAGCTGAAATAAGAGAAGCCTTTAAAGGAAAGAAGACAATTGAGGAAAGTGATATTCAAAACCTAAAATATCTGAAGTTGATAATCAAGGAAAACTTTAGGGTACATCCCGCTGTCACTTTACTCCCAAGAGCATGCAGGGAAGAATGTGAAGTCGATGGGTATACCATACCCTACAAAGCAAAGGTTGCTGTGAACATCTGGGCTTTGGGAAGAGATCCAGAATATTGGGAAGAACCAGAAATCTTTAAACCCGAGAGATTCGAGAACAGTTCTGTTGATTTCTTGGGAAATAACTTCGAATTTATTCCATTTGGATCAGGAAGGAGGTTTTGTCCTGGCATGAACTTTGGAATTGCAAATATTGACGTGCCTTTAGCTCAACTTCTTTATCACTTTGACTGGAAACTTCCTCATGGAATGAACCATAGTGATCTAGACATGAGTGAGATACCTGGAGTAAGTGTGCAGAGAAAAAATAACCTTTATTTGATCGCTACACCCTACAACCCACCAATTGAAGGTTAATTTATCCAAGGCCAGAGGGCAGTTCTGATTGCCAAATAAGCTACACTGCCTGGATCATTTGCTGGTTTTAATATTTGTACTCTTTATATATATTTATCATTTTCATATCAATAAAATTTACCGTGCTTCAGAAATACAATTTATATTGTGCCTTGCTGGATAAATTTTAATTTGGGGTTTTGCTTGATGTACAGTAGGCTTTTTCATAGGAGCCTGCCAGAACACACAAAGGGGGGTGCGTGGGGTATTTTTTGGCAAATGTTTTTTGCGGTGGGCCTCATATCATGAGAGTATTTTGGCAATCTTCCGTGAAACTTTCTTCCATACAAATGGATTAATCCTTCAATTTGAGACTTTGGAAAAGATTAACCCAAAATCATATGTGCTACAGGAATTTCCAAACGTGGACACAAATGGTATTAACTAGTATGCAGTTTGAGACAATAATGCCCATGTCTTAAAAAAAGGGTAATTAGTACAAAACATCCTTATCTTTCAATGTTATTGTACAAAACGTTACTATCTTTCATTTTTTGGCACTTTTATCCTTACTTTTACCTTTTATTGCGGAAATCATCATTTTAATCAAATATCTTGTGTAAAATGACAAATATACCTCTTATTTAAATAAACAATAAAAAATAAAATAAAAATTAAAGAATAAATAGAAATTATACTCCTAATCTTTTTTAAAAAGTGCAAATGAGTTCAAATAAATTATTAAAAGGAAAATTAACATAAAAAGTCCATATCTTTCATTATTATTGTGCAAAACGTCCATATTTTTCATTGTTTGACATTTTCACCATTATCTTTATATTTCATTGCAAAAATCATTATTCTCACCCATTTTCTCAATTAAAAACTATAAAATGACAAATATACACTCATCTTTAAGTAAACAAAAATAAAAACAAGAAAAATAAAGAGCAAATTGCAACTATACTCGCAAATTTTTCAAAAAAGTACAAATTATTTATTTGTACTTTTTTTTGAAAATTTTGGAAATATAGTTGCAATTTTATATTTATATTTATTTTTGTTATTTAAAGAAAAGTGTATATTTGTTATTTTACAGCTTTTAATTGAGAAAATGGATGAAAATAACGATTTTCACAATGAAATATGAAATAAGGGTGAAAATGTTAAAAATGTAGGTAGGGACGTTTTGCATAATAATAATAAAAGTTAGGACATTTTGTGCTAATAACCCTTTTAATAATTTCTTTGGATTCATTTGTACTTTTTAAAAAGTTTGGGAGTATGATTGCAATTTATTCTTTAACTTTTCTTTTCTTTTTTATTATTTTATTTAAATGGGGGTATTTTGTCTCATTTTACACGAAAAATTTGATGAAAAGGATGATTTTCGCAATAAAAAGTGAATGTAAGGGTGAAGTGCCAAAAAATGAAAGGTATGAATGTTTTACACAATAACATTGAAAGATAAGTATGTTTTGTGTTAATTACCCTAAAAAAAAGCATCAACAAAATCCAAAAATACATCAATTAATGCTTATAAAAATGGAACAAGTATGAAAAAAAAATGTGTGTGATAACTATGCCTTTATAGATGCATTGAACATATTTTCATCTGATGCAACGTACTAGTTAATGCGATCTACGCCGATATTAGAATTTAATGGTGACGTGTAGGGCTTTTGATTGAAAGTTGCTGAAATTAACTTGATCTCCTTTAATCTTTACCATTATATTATGTTCGAGTAAACCCCGTAAGTATACGAGATCATTGACAAGTATACATGATGAGTTACGTGTATCATTCCACTATAAATAAAATCTAACTGTACTGTATTAGTTTTCTATTGGATTCGATGTAGTAACGCAAAGAGATATTGATCACTGTAATTGTCCCAAGTTGTGCTACAAAATATGTAAAATGCGGTGATTTTTATTAAATTATGGAATGAATGTATTGGATTTCAAAATTCACCTATTGGCATTTATTTCCAAATCTCTACCTATGTAGTTTAGTTTAATTCAAGCGCTCGTGACAATCGATAATTTTATGTTGTTTGACTTTCTTTTCCAAGATAAATCAAGCCTATTCTAAGAATGCCCCTATTCTGTCCCTAGTTCGAATTTATATGCAAATATATGCATTCAATCATAGGGCTATCTGATGAGATTGCATACGCTACAAATGTTATTCCAAAGACCTATGATCCATGTGTCAATTATGTAGTGTTCTAGACTTATAGTGTGTTTTTCAACACTATAGCGAGTAACAAATTATCTATTTGAAGGCAATCAATCAAATAATGATAAAAGCCTGCATAATCAATCAAGAACACAAGAAATAACTAACTACTTGTCCATAAATTAGAAATAAACATCCAATGTTCTCATCATCATCCAATGCACTATGAAGTTTAGCCCAGCATAATTAAATTTAAATTACACAATAAAAATTGAAAAGACATCACCCGAATCAAATAATAAGAGGATAAACATGAAACTTCAATTCTTGAAACTTGAATCCGAGTTTTGCAACTTCAATTCTTGTGTTAATTCGCTTCTTACCTCTTGCTAAACGTCTTCTATGAGATATAATGCTTAATTCCTTGTTGTTGACGGCCTTGCTTAGGTTAAGAGGGTGCTGGAAAATCATTCCATATGAGAGTCAAACAAAAAAAGGAATCATGATTTTTCTTTCCGGAGGAAGCCATGCATGCACATGATTATATGCCATGCCCGTGCACTGTACATGCTACTAAGTGTCAGTTTTTGTAGAAGACCACCTTGTGCACGTGTGGTCTTTAGGCTCATGTGTGTTCATGGTGCAATGGTTGGGACCAAATGTGCAATTTGGTCTCTGAACTTTTCCACAGATGCATTTTGATCCTCCTTGATTATTTTTCATTCCGTTGTCTTCTACTCTCATCCAATTGACTCTTAACATACTGGAATCTAAGTTATGAGGTCCGTCACAACTTTTTGTTATTTGTGCTTTAGTCCCTGAACTTTAAATTTCTTGCAATTTTGTCCTTCTGTTGTTCATTTTCTTCAATTCCATCAATTTCATCGATCTTTACCTAACAAACATATTCCATATTTAGACTCAATTAAAAATAATTTTTTGGAGAACATGTATTTTGGAATAGTGTTTTTTTTTGGAGAATATGTGGTTAAAAAGTAAAAAAATTCTGCTTGATATACTTGTAATATTATTTTACGGGAAAATATGTGGTTGAAAATGAGTTTTAAAAAATATATTTTTTAAAGAATGGAGCTCAAACAATGGCACAATATACATAAAATTAAGTCATGATTCATTAAAACATCCAACAAATATCCTAATTTAAAGGAATAAATAATGTATAACATACACTTATAAGACATCTCCAAACTTAAATACTTGTTTGTCTTCAAGCAAAATATAACCTTATTCAACAAAGATAGCTTCAAAATCACATAGATCCAACTGAAAACTTGATATGTGTGTGTGTGTGTGTGTGTGTGTGTGTGAAGATTCATGTAGAATATTATAAATTCATGCTTGGTTCAAATCCCGACCCTTAATGGTTACATGTCTCTTTCTTCACTTGTGATATACACACCTTTAAACTTGTGTTTTTTTTTTTTTTTACTCATTTTCTCAAGATGTGATCCTAGATTGAATTTTAGATGGTCATAATCATCACCACCTCTAGTTTGGGTAGATTTTACTAGCAGCAAGTTAACACTTCAATAAACAAGGAATCTTCTATATTTTTGGCTGCTTTAACCCCTAAAACTTAACTAGGCTGATGATCTCTCATTAAATGTCTAATTCTTTTGAACAAGTGTCGAAGCTTGATCAAAGTATGTAGTGCCTATTCTGTTTCATGCACTTACTTTTTTAATTATGATGTGCTTATTTTGTTTCATGCACTAACTTTATTCCCTTTTGAGTTTTCTTTCTATGATTTTCAATAGGTGTCCTAATGGTGATTTTTTTATATGGTAGCTTTCACTCATGAATCATGATAGATTTAGACAATGCACACAGCAGTTTCACACAAGGAATTCCTATTTATCTCAATGTTTCTCTATACTAGTTCAACCATCTTTAAACTATCCTAAAAATGGTTTGATAATAGTTGCTTTTCTCAGTTTCAACCACTATATGCACCTATTACATCTAATATACCAAAGCACTCGCTCACGATGCAAAATACAAATCATTTGCGCAAGTTAAGATCAAATTTTACATAAATAAGCATCAATCAATTAACCTAACATTCTTTTTTTTTTCTAGCATTTTTAGTCTAACACACGATTTAATAAATACATCATTGTCGGTAAAACTATCTGACCTATATAAGCACAGAAACGTAGTAGAAACATGCATAATCAATGAAAATATCCCATCCCAAATTTAAAACACACATTGTCCTTTATTTATGAAAATATGACAACAAGTGTACAAAAAAGGGCAAAGAGGGAATATGAAGACTCTCATAGTCAATCTGAAGATGGTGGCTAAAATAACATGAGGGCTTGGTCTAGATGGTCTGCTTGACAGCTTTCGTTCCCTTGACTAGTGTTGGTTTGAGCGTTTTTAAGTTGTCATGTTTATGTAAAATGAATAAAATTCAATCCTCAGTGACATAATAACACAAAACAATCAATATTAAGCTAAACACACATCATAACTAACAAGAAGATCCAGGGACAAAGTAGGAAATGGGAAAGGGAACGACGATATGTCATGGTTGTGGGTTGCTACGGCAAGTTATTGTTCACATTTTTTATATATAATTATGTAAGGATAATTATACCTGACTCCATATTATGAAATAAAAATAAATAAATCACACATCATACTATCTAGAAAGTAGAATAAATAAAAGGGAAGAAAATTGAGTTGCCTCCCAATATATGCTTCTTTATAATTATTAGTTTGACTTTGTTTTTTTGGCTACACTTGGTGACTTGAAAAGGAGATTTTCGACCGTCTAATGGCTTCATCCTTGACCTTCCAATTTTTAGAGCTCCCATATTGATTTATATCATTCCAAACTAGTCAGCCAACTCTTTTTTTGTTGCGAGGACTTGCATAGTCATCATTTATGTCATTGTTAATCTTCTTGTACTTTTCGAGGTATGATGGTTGCTTGAGTGGAGTGGTCATGTAAAT